TTAAATTCTTACTTTACAGTATAAATTACAGACTCAACGAAACTAGCAACTCCCTTTGAAACTTCTCACTTTCTCTCTCAGTATCTCAAACATACGCCCTCATGTTCATACAGGAAGTAGGCTCAAGGCAGATTACAAGAAAGGAAGTGAGATGCAACACATTTATAAACAACACTGTAGCAGCTTCTGCAAATGTATCTAGTGTGATATTATATGTGTGAAATGTTAAGATGAAGAGAAGTCCTCCAAAAACAACAGGTTCATCATAATTAACAGACTTTAATGTGGCCACAGTTCACTCCACAGAGGAATGTAATATGTTTAATATATGTTTATAAATATACAGTGTGTATGAAAACATGGGATTTAAATAAATAAAGTGTAACAGTGTAGAATATGGTTCCATTTGTTAATTAGTTAAAATTACTTACATTTTTAAGTACAATCAACTTCGATGTTTAAGTCATATCAACTTAAATTACATTAAACTGACTTAAAAATGAGTTCAATCTTGTATAACTTATCAAAATAAGTTAAGCCATTTTCAACTTTTTTTATGAGTTAAAGCAATGTAAAAACGTCTTGGGTTACAACTGTAACCTATGTTCCCTGAGAACGGGGAACGAGACACAGCATCAGAACACTATGGGGAACGCCTCCGCGTGAACCGGTGTCTGAAAAGCTTATCTAATCACGGCAATCCTATTGGCCGGCGACAGCCTATGTCATCATCACTAGTGCGACCCAAAAGTATATAAGGGGAGCCTGGAGAACATGTCAACAACTTATCGTCTGAAGGGACTGTTCAGCAGGCATCCCCGAGGCATGGCGAAAAGACCCAGGGAACATAGGTTCAGTCGTAACCTGAGACATTCCCTTTCGAAAGGGAACTCGCACTGTGTCAGAACGCTATGGGGAACGATCTACTCACGCTGCCATGCTGAGGGGAGTACATGCCAAATTATGGCTGTGACAAAAAAACGGCAGTTTCACTGAAATGCCAAAAACACTCCCCCTTCAGGTCAGTGACAGTATTCCGTACGGCCACTGCCCAAGCTATAAGCCTCAAATACCCCTTTTCCACCAAAGCATTTTGAGTGTTTCGACAGCCAAAGAACCGGTTCTCGGCCAGGAAAATTGGTTCCAAAGCGGCACCAACTCTTTGCTGGACTAGAACCGTTCTTTTACCACGTCATGCTTACATCGGGGGCTGGGGGCGGGTTACTGTGAACAACAACACGACGGGAATGGGAAAGCTAATACGTATGGCGACATACTAGGGATGGCTCGATACCACAATTTTGGCTTCGGTACGATACCAGAACCTAATACCTCGGTATCGATACTAAATCGATACCACAGGTAAAAAATAAAATAAAAGAAAGTCTCAAAATTTAAGTGACACTTAAAAATCACTGCTTGAAACTCTCCACTACCAAAATGTGCAAAGAAAAGGTATCAAAATGTAAAAATAATAATAATAATAATAATTCAGTCAGGGAACATAGGTTAAATTTTGATTTTGAAAAAAAAAAACCTGAAATTATACAATTAAAATAGGTTAATATCTATAATAATAGATTAACATATAATAATGATAGAATAATGAAATGACATGTAAACCATTAGCTGTCATGCATCAACACAGAATTATCAACATTTATTGCATTTATTCATCTTGGTTTGGTTACTGTTTGGGTTCATATTAGTTTAATCCATTGCATATTGTAACATGCTAAACATGTATTAGTATATTTACTTTGCTAGGTCATTTAATTACTGATTGATATAGATTAATAAATGCTGTAATACTGTTGGGTCAGGTTACCTAATGAATGTTGACAAATGTAGCTTAATTGTAATATTAGTAATATTCATATTACTACTATTACTCTCTCGTCTTATTCCTCTAGGGGTCGCCACAGCGGCACTATTATGCCATTCATTTTACTATCACTAATACTATAGCGTCTAATGCAAGCAGATTTGAGCTTTCGTGTTTACTGTATCATATAAAATTGATAAGCTCTTACGTATGTGCGCTTTTCAGTGTTCAATAAAAGTCTAAATTAAATCAGTTGAATGATGGACTAACCTGTCGATCTCTGAACTCTTTGAACAAGTCAAGATGAGCAACTGATAAGTCTAGTGCTTAGGCAGATTTGATGTGTTGCCTCCCCGTTTGCAGAGTGGTGCATTGAGATCTGTTTCTTTACTTTTCTCATTACTTTTGTAGGCAAAGTAACGCCTTATTTCACTCATACTGCTCTCTCTATTTATTAATTTTGGGCGTGTAGAATTTCGTTTGATCCATCGTGTTCCTCTGTTGTCACCGTTTGCCGGTTTCGCGTGACCCGCGTCAGTTTAGGTAGCACACTGCCGCCTAGCGGTGGACTTCGAAACAGCAGCGCATCAAATACCGAATTGAACAAAATTATGATATTGTATGATATTGAAATATAATATATACCGGTACTGCAAAAATACCGGTATATATACCGCGCATCGCTACGACATACACAGTGATGTAACGACGTCGTTCGCTAGGCTCTCTAGTCAGTGGAAAAACAAACAGGTTCTGAGAAGGTTCGCAAGTTGAACCAACTTTGAACCAGCACCAGTTCCGAACCAGTTCTTCTTTGGTGGAAACGAGGTAAAAGAGGCCTCCGATACAATGAAGGCCTAGCAAGGCTGCTCAAAGGCTTTGGAACCAACAACTTCCGTGGAAGGGAATATGGCCAGGGGGTCCAAATGAGTCCTGTCCAGTCACTTTCTGAGGGGGACATGAAGTCAACCCCACATGCCACCAGGGAGGCTGACCGGGTCTAATTTAATGACCTAGTCTTGCCAACAACCTGTCTGTTTCCTAAACAGAGTCTCTAACATATTTTGCCTCACCTGTGGAGGCATCCGATAGGGAGGACTGCAGTTAGTGGCAGTGATCGCTCACAGACCGGATCAGCTCTAGGGCTGATCTAACAGGGAGGCCTCGTGAGAGTCCTTCGACCTTCTGACCAGACTTAGGGAGCTAAGTATTCATACAGACCGATCCTCAGATAGATTCTGGAACACTATACTCAAAACCTGATAAGTATTGACAAGGCTCTGGGCTAGGTTTTGCCTTCGCAATGCTAATCATCGAACTCGTTGGGGATCCGCCTTCAAGGGGGCCTGTCAAGGTCTAACTACTTGATTGTGGGACTGTTAGCAGAGCTAGCCACAGAAGTCAGGTGCTCCCACAGACATCTCTGTGGGCCTGGTTATACTTATTTCACATTGCTGTGTACTCAGCAAAAAGTGCTATTGACCCTTTAAAGCAAGGGGAGTACAATCTTACGCTACCTGATTATCGAGGAGGCCTACTGTAAGGCCTACAGCTTCGACTTTCACAGACGTCAGCCCGGGTAGTGCTTTTTGAACAGAGTTTCTAGTATTACTTGCCTTACTTGTGGAGGCATCCGATAGGGAGGACTGCAGATAGTGGCAGTGATCACTCACAGACCGGATCATAGAGACAGGCATCCTGGAGAGAACTCAGCATAGCCCGTTCAAACCCTTGCAAACGAGGGGAGTGACTCTACTCCATCCTGGATCTACACGGTGCTTCAAAGCCATGTGGAGGCTGGGCACTCTGAAAGGGACCCTAATAAGGGGAGCGCCTCCAGCTCTAAGGTTTACATTGCCAACAGGCAGTGGGTCCCTCTTCCCTCAAGAAGAGAGCAGACGAGAGTGGAGTTTTCTCAAGGGAAAAAACTCACAGTGGCACAAGCAGATCCCTCAGGAACTGATCGTGCATGCTCTGAGCCCAAACAATAAACACACAAGTTGTGTGTCATCAAGTATCAATATCTTAGACACGGATGCACACACTTCCTGAAGCGTTTTTCACAAGCCATGATTACCTTTATAAGTTTTCAGGGTGAAGCGTACAAACAAAACGGTACCTTCAGACGATAAGTTGTTGACATGTTCTCCAGGCTCCCATTATATACTTCCGGGTCGCACTAGTGATGATGACATAGGCTGTCGCCGGCCAATAGGATTGCCATGATTAGATAAGCGTTTCAGACACCGGTTCACGAGGAGGCGTTCCCCATAGCGTTCTGAAACAGTGCGAGTTCCCTTTCGAAAGGGAACATATGTTGTCACAACTTATTGATCATATAATTTTTTACAGGGCATAGGAACTTAATGAGTGTACATGGCTGTTTCAGAAGACTTCTGTGGAAAAACTGTGTTAAATAACTTATTTTGATGCATTAAAGCAATGTAATAATGTTTTACAGTGTTAACATGAAGTAACAATTAATAATGTTTCTGTATCTGAAGAATTTATTAATCTTAGTTCATATAAATATCAGCATCTACTAATACATTATTAAAACAAAAAATTGTATCTGTTCATATTGTTCAATAGACCTGAGCTAGCATGAACTAACAATGAACAGTTGTGTTTTTATTAACTTGTTAATAATGATTAATAAATATTGTAATTAATTTGTTGCTCATAGTTAATGCTAGTTAATGCATTAGCTAATGTGTTAAATAAAGTTATGTAATGAAGATGTAATGTTTCTTAAATATAGATGACTGACTTTTGCCTAATTTTTATCATAATTTCAACTCAAGGCTAATAAACAAACACAAAATAAGAGGAAGAAATGTTGACATAATAAGATTATTCACTATTTCTAGTTCACTATAGCTGTAAAACTAACCTTGTACCAAAGGTCAAGTGTTATACGATGAAGTGGTAGGTAAGCATGCACAAAAACAAAATGGCTCTTTATAATAAGGTATGGAATTAGTACAAGATGCACATTTTGTTAGACGTGATTTTATTCAGTCATGTCACCTTTGACAGAGTGACCGAAGAAGCTCTCGCATGTCATCATCTAGTGCTGTTGAGTAAATGTGGCATTACAGATCACATGTATCCGCCCAGCAACCACAGGAAGTCTTTCTTTTTTTGCAGCTGCTTCTTACACAGCATCAGCAGGAAGTGCACGCTTCTATATGTACACACACACACACACACACAACACACCTACAAGAGCCAGAAGTGAGGACCTGTGGCCCCCCATCCCGGAAAAACACAAGAGTCAGAGACCATGATCAAACGCAAACTGAGTGAGTACATTTGATTTCTGCCATAGTATGTGATCATTCAGATTGGCATCTCTATGCCATGTGGCTTGTTCTTGTGGTGAAAGTCTCTGGTCGGTTAAGCAAGTCTATTAAAGTTCAAAATGCCTTAAATAACGACCCACTGTCCTTGTCGAATCTATCAGCGAGTTCTAAAGGAGCAGGACTGTTGACATGATTGATTTTTATAATGGCCTTAAAGGGTATAATGTTCCGCTCTTATGAAGGTTAGTGTATTTGAAGGCACTAGTGCATAGACATAGATACGTTTTTAAGAGGCTTTTTGTTGTTTTGCTCGCATGCCTTGAGGTAAAGCCAAAGCCAGGATCACACCATTCTGAAGACAGTGATGGGATATGGGAATACCGTAATGACATTTGGGGATTCAGCTGCACCAAGCAAATGAATGTACTTTAGACTAGATCAATATGAGCCAAATTGAACATCGACCAAGAGAAAACAAACTCATGATGAAATTTTAAAGTCTTTTATATCAGATTAGCTTGAGTGTTATAAGGTCAAATAAGTACAAAGTAGGATATATTGATAAACTGCAACTGAGAGATGTATTGTGTAAAATTGTGAGCAAAACATGTAAATGCACAGTCATGAAAAGCGAAAAACAACACATAAAAGTCACATTTTTAACTCATCAAAATAAGTTAACCAATTTAAAAAATTTAAATCTTAAAGTCAATCCTATAACAGATAACAATTTAATACACATTTATAACTCAATACATTGTGTTATATTTCCTTGTCAGTAGGGGAAAAACAAATAACGCTGCTACAAGGGTGTTTTTAACACATCGGCTGTGGGAGAGATGTGATATGATGTGAAGGAGAGATGTGAAGATAATATCTTTCTCTCTTCTGACCAACTTGATATCTCTCTCTATTTATTTCCTCTTTTGAAAGTCATGTAAACTCTATAACATTTTTTTTTTTTGCTTTTGCTTTTAGAGCAAATGGGAATACAAAATTATATTTGCTGTCATCCCCCGTTCACCGCTATAGAAGTTTACCCAACTATGACGACTTCCGCTTCTGAGAAACCCAGGAATGTGAAAAGGGTCCAATTATTATATTTCACACTGATATTTCCTTCTTTAATAGTTGCTTTTACTATAAATGAGTAATCATTTCACTTTAGTTGTTTAATCTTAAAATGTAAGTGTAAATAAGCTTTAACTCCTCATTCATTTTAAATGAACAGGACCTATATGATTATTTGATTATTGTGAATGTAAAAAGTAACAGTCTTAGCACACAAAACCCGTTTCTTCCTTAATATCAGTTATATTTTTGCATAGCTTCAAGTACAATACCCAGAAATACATTAAGAACTACATCACTTTTAATAGTCTCATGTGTTATTGATTTCAGTCTGTCTGATGATGAATATACTCAGTCTGGACCAGACCACTTGACAAGAAACAAAACCAGAACAGGGCTAAACTCTGACGCTCCCCCGAGAGCTATAATTATTAAGATTAATGAGTCGACATTCCATCAGAGACAGAGAGAAATTTAAGGGCAGGCCCTGACATGGAAGATCATGCTAGAAACAAATTACGATAATGCTTTATTTTAAGACTAGCCTTCCTGTTTGTACAGTATCTTAATGTCCTCCCCCGTTCATCATTATCACTGTTCTGCAACCATGACATGATTTTCATCAGAAAGAAATATTCTGGCTTCATTTATGAGAAGCTGAGTCCCTTTACTCTTAGAGACTAAAGGGACCAATGAATGTTTTTTTCCCACAGACAAGGTCAGGTCTTGTATATTTACTTAAGAGGCTACATGTTTCTTTCTCACATTGAAAGAACTTTAGGAATGGCAGGGACCCTATAGGGTCAGTCCTATAAACCTTTTACTTTTTAACCATTCGAGACACTTAGAAAACTGCAGAGTTTCAGCATGCACAACATGTTTTCTCCCTTCTCAGGCTTCAAGTGGTTTGGTAGCCTCACCAACCTCCGGCGTAAATCGGATGCCCAGAAGGAGGACAGATCCGTCAAAGAGCTGGCCGCTGACGATATGGGCATGAGTCCACGGAGCCAGAGCTACGCCAGCTCCAGTGAAATGTACACGCACATGGGTACCATGCCACGTCACCCGAAGAAGGACAAAGGCTTGAAGAAGAGCAAGTCCAAGGACAAGGACAAGGACAAGAACAACCTCAGTCGGAGTCAAAGCACGAGACCTTCACAAGACCATGTGTTTGATTCACCCCTTCTCAGCGTACTTCAGGGCCTGGAGGTCCTGGAAAACCCCATTATGGAGGACAAGTTAACTGCTGGGACTAGAGACAGTCACATCCAGTATCGTGACCTTCCAACTCCACCAACTGTGGATGGACACTCAACAAAGCTGGAAGATGAACATAAGGAGCCTGTAGCTGACTCCAAGATACATGTCGATCCACCGAGTGCATATCTAGAGCCTTCACCCGATCTATGTTTGAGCAAAGAGTCAAACGTCCAGCCAATCCTGCCCAGGAAAAAACATAGAGAAGATACCTCTGTGAAGGGTGCTGGGATGGACAGTGACTTGATTCAGTTGCCTCTGAAGATGAGCAGCCAGATGGAGCAGAAGACCGCAGTTAGAGAGGATCCTGATATAGAATCAGACTGTACACAGGAAAAGATGGAGCCTAACAGGTAAAAATCAGCTACATTACTTGATTTCTCAATGTGATCTTTGTTTGTTGTATACTTTAAAGTCCCCCTGTGGTGAAAATCAAGTTTTTAAGGTTGTTTATATGTCCATTTGGTGTTTTCTAATATGTTTTAAAACAAACCATGTGTACATTCATAAGTCAACACAACGCATTCTCATCGCAGGCGTCATAAACTGACACTTTTGACATTTCGTCAAAATCCAACGCACATGGCACCCTTTAGCGTCAATATAGGTATGGGTAGGTTTAAGTCTGGGGTAGGGTTAGGGTTAGACCACTAGGAGGCGCCTTCTGGCCAATATAGGGTTAGACCACTAGGAGGCGCCTTCTGGCCAATATATATCTGCGTCTTATATTGACGCTAAAGGGTACCATGTGCGTTGGATTTAGACAAAATGTAAAAAGCATCAGTTTATGACGCCTTGGGATGAGAACCGGCTCGTCAACACCATTGCTGAGTGTTTTCTCCTTAAAACTGCAGTGAACCAAAAACACGGTTTGAAATCGCTGGTGTTTCTGACGTCACAAACTACCTTGTAACCAATCAGGTCAACGTGTGATCGTCAACGAGGGGAACCCTGAGCTGGTGTGAGTGAGTGGAGGCGGGGCTAATTTACATATTCATAGAACAACGTATAATAAATCGGGCAAGGGTTAGAGTTACATTCAAGCTATTTTGAGGTGAGTTTTAAGGGATAAAATGATTGAGTAGGGAGACCGGGGACTTTAAGTACAGTAGCTACGTTCATTCAGTACAGTACATTTAAAGTCGGCATGAAATGAAAGTTGATATAGTATTTTACTGTATTCCCTATTATCTACTGTATAGATCTGAGTGAAACGGCTTTGTGAACAAGAAAAAAATTAGGGTAGGACTTGAATTTGTCCATTGGGAATTGATTGGATCAACACTTATTGAGTAAAAACAGTATTGTAACCTCATGTGATGAAGCAGGTTGTGAGAAGGAACGGGAGATCAACTCACTATACTCTTTGAATTCTTCAAATCAGCAGTTGGAGTTATTTCAGAAAATTCTTCTATTAACTTTTGATTAGTTTTTCCAATGAAAATTCAACACAAAGTGCGCACATCTAACGGCAAAAAGCTCAATGAGGGTGCTCAACCACAAAAAAATTATAATAATCTGTAAAAAAGGAAGGAAAAGTTGGCAGACCACAGCTCCAAAAATAGAAAAATATTTATTTCATGTTCTAACCATAGGTGACGTCTCGAGCCCAATGGCTCTTCATCAGATTATTTTTTCAATGGAAAACAAGAACAAGAAAAAAGCAAGTTATACAGCGTCTCTAGTTGTTTTCACTGGAAGTTGGAAGTTTGGCAGCTGCGCTACAGAAATCTGACAGAAACACTGAAGTAAATAGTGTATGGAAATGATACACTGTCGATTTTAGTTGCATTGGTGTAAAATGTCAGTTTACACATCCAAGTGCACGGTGTTCACTGCCTCTCTACACATCAAGGTTATTTTGCATTTTTAAATTAGTATTTATTTTAATATCATTTTCAAATTTCCAATTAATTTCAGTTTAGGTTTCATTAATGGTTGTGTTAGTTTTAGTTTAGTTTTTTATTTTGTGAACACATTTATATTTAGTTTTTTTTATATATTTAGTTTCCGTTTTAGTTAATTATACTTAAGCAGAGTTACAGAATACTTCCAGTTAAAGACATTTCATTTCAGCAAAGTTTGCAGTTTACATTTAACTCTTGTACAAACCTCTTAATAATAAAAAATAAAATAATTGTTTGAGATTGAACAAAGAACCAAACAAATGCAACTTTAAAGTATAAAAGTAAAAATTGTTCATTCATACTCATTCATATTATGAAATCTTGTTAAACATGTGGTGTATAAGAAAAAAAATATATGCGTATGATTATTCTTTTGTATTGGTTAGATTAAACCTTTTAAATATTATTCTCGTATTGATCCATTTATGCTTTTTGTCTATTGTATATTTCAATATCATATACTCATAGTTATACTCATATTCATGTGTTCTATTCAGACCAGGCATTTAGTTTACTTCTTCTCTGACAAATGTGTGGGTTTGTTTGACAATTTTCGTTTTCTGCTCAGTGTGGTATCCTGTCTAATATGTGTGGTATCTGGTTTATTATTAAGTTTCACATGAGATGGTTATCTTACCTGGAATTAGGCCTACAGCTGTATTTGCATACACTCTACCATGATGGAAATACTTATTTGGCCATTTCGGCTTCTTAAAATAAGGCTGCAAAAGACGCGAGAGCAACGTACGGTCACATGTCCACATCAAGCTCGTGTTTACCGGTGTTTACATTGAAAAATAAAGTAGCGCAGTGACGCAGTCTAATGGAAAAACGTGATTTTCCGGTACAGGATGAGAGCTTATTAATTACGAAAACTATTATTTATTTTTGCTAATTATTATTTTATTTCAGTTAGTTTTTCACTAACTGTTGTTAGTTTTGTTTCATTTTAGTTTTTCATTTATGTTGAAATTTTCACAACCTTGCTACACATCTGTCTAAACCGGAAGCGAATGGCGCGACACAAAACCAAAGAACATAGAACCATAGGCGTAATTTGCAAGGGGGTAATCCATCAGTTGAAGCCGCGCGGGCGCCCCCATTGTAGCAGAACTTCACTTGCTGTTAGCATTCCATTGACTCCCATTCCTTTTGGCGTCACTTTGACAGCGAATAACTTTACATCTGAGGCGTCCAAAGACTCCATTTGTCCATTATTTATTTCTAAAGAAACACGACAATGTATAAAAGCCTCCATCACCTTGTATCTTACGTTATGGCCCCGTAGAAGCAGTTTTTGTAAAAATAGGCTAACGATTGCGTCATAACGAATCGACTCTCCGTCGCACAGTAGAGAAATTACCGTATAGACAGGAGGAGAAGCTCACGCGCAATCGGGGGGACGTGGAGGCACAACGTCCGATAAAGTCGAGGGAGAAGCCCATAGAGAGTCATAAAGTTGATCCTGCTGCGAGCTCATGGACAGCTAATACTCACTCTCTCCGTCTCTGTGAGATTCGGAAGGGAATTATTCAGATTTAACTCGGCACAGCTAGAAGACATGCAGGTTGCTCACGTGACAGGCTCAGTTTGAGCCTGCGCAGTACGCCTGGCTATCAGCTTTTAACGGGCTTCAATTTTCTCCGTTGAAATCAATGGGGTCGCTATGTCCATTTCTTTTACTGTCTATGGTATTTGCGGGTGGTGCGAGTGCCACACAAGCCCTGAAAAGTGAAGCCAAAACTTTTTTTACAGTCTATGGGTGGGACGGGTGGGACATGTCCCCACCACTTTTTATCAGGGTCGATATTGTCCCCACCACTTTCTGAAACATTTCGAGACACGGATGTACCTAATACAACTAAATAAAAAATCGCCAGTTTACTAGCAGAGCATTCATTTAGTTCGCTATTACCGTAAATAAGAGACGATTTAGAGCTAAAATGTGTTGTTTTGAAATCAAGCAGGATAGCTCGTTGCCGCTGCGATCAGTGGCGCGGATACAGTGTTCTCTTGTGACTCGCGCACAGTCTTCACTCGGACGCGCGCTTCAATCTATTGTTTTATGCCGTTGCGGAGACTCTATTCATTCCAGTGAAATCACAAAACAAAATGCACACAAACATGTCCCTGCTAACCACTGATGAACATATTCAGTTTTGATGAGAAAAAAACTACGAGTGCGGATTAGAAACCCGTAACCTCTGACATGCTTGGCAAAAGTTCTACCTATAGCTATGCATTTATTCACATGAAAATTCTCGGCACTAACAATATGTATTAGTAGATCTCATTAAAAGACTAATTAAACCCAATATACGTTACTATTGAAATTGATTTCTAGACATAATGTTATTTTTCCCTAAAATTGTTATTGTACATTTATCTAATTTAGCATTGTATTAGCAGAACAGAACCAGAACAGAACCATACCGCCAATCCAAACTGTATGGTAATTGGTAAATGGTAAATTCCCTCCATTGACCCATATCAATCATGGCATCCTAATAATCCCCATCCACTGAATGGGCTCGATCACTCTCTCTCCTCTACACCTGTAGCTGGGGTGAGTTCAGCGCACTGTGGCTGCCGTCGCATTATCCATGATTGCAAAGCGATTTGGGTGTACAATAGTAGATAATAAAGTGCTACATAAATGCTTCATTCATTCCTTCAACTCTTCACAGATAAATCAGGAAGCTGCGCTGTAATGTCAGACGAGAGTAATCCTCGTGTGTGACCACATGCCGTGACAGCGTGGTTTTGAGATACAATATATATCCTCGTTCCTTTGTGAAACCGGTTCTGGCTCATTGTACATGTACATCAGGATTGATGTCACGCTTGAGATGATCTCATGAGATAGAGGCTGAGAAAAAACATTACCGTGATTCTCCGAGATCTGCTCTATGCATTTGGACATGCAATAATACAGTTTATCTCAGGGGCTCGTCCTAAACGCCACTGGAAACCTTTGTCTACTTTTTTTAATAACAAAATGCCAGAATATTAGGGATAGTTCACCAAAAAATACTTTAAAAATAATTTACTCACCCTCATGTAGTTCCAAACCTGTATGAGTTTCTTTCTTCCGCTGAACACTAAAGAAGATACAGGTGAAACTCGAAAAATTCGAATATCGTTCAAAAGTTCATTTATTTCAGTAATTCAACTTAAAAGGTGAAACTAATATATTTTATAGACTCATTACATGCAAAGTGAGATATTTCAAGCCTTTATTTGTAATCATTTTGATGATTATGGCTTTATGAAAACCCCAAATTCAAAATAAGAATATTGTGAAAGGTTTTCATAGCTGTAAGCCATAATCATCAAAATGATAACAAATAAAGGCTTGAAATATCTCACTTTGCATGTAATGAGTCTATTTAAAATATTAGTTTCACCTTTAAGTTGAATTACTGAAATAAATGAACTTTTGCACGATATTCGAATTTTTCGAGTTTCACCTGTATTCTAAAGAATATGGGTAACCAAACAGTTGATAGACCCCATTGACTTCCATAGGATGGAAAAAAAAATACTTTGGATGTTAATGGGGACCAACAAAGTGTCATCAGCTGTGTTCAAAGGACCTGCCCTTATGTTGTTGAATTTTGGATATTCAAGAAATTCATAAATAAGATGCCCTGTTGAAATATGTGATATATGACTTTATTTAAACGGCAAAGGTAAAGCATCTGCATCCGCACTCATAGTTGCTCTGGAAGCTTCCTCACTCCTCGTTCCTCGCCTCCTCGCGGTGCAGTTCGAGAATTGAGATGTCCTTCGAGATGGCTGAGCTCGATCGGTTTACGGGTCACGGGCTGGAGGACGGAGGAGCGAGGAAACGAGGAAGCATCAATTTGAGTATTGAAAAGCACCCAGTGTTTCAACAGTGACCCTCATAAATTCACATTAGAGGGCAGCAGAGAGCAACAGGATGAACAGGGATTCGCAGGAAAGTTGCGGTTCATTCCTCTCAGCTTCCACAAGGACTTGACAGACTGTAGTCTGGGAACAGACTGGGACATTTAATTTACAATTTTAAATTAGGAAACGCCTCATTGGGTCTTTTTTTTTAAGAAAAGGTTGTTGGTGTTGTCATTGTCTTTTATGTGTAAGTGTTAGAGTAAGTTGCACAAGGATCTAAGGTGAGTTTATCATTGTCAGTATGCTGTGTGTGTCGCAGAGTAAACGTCAAAAACTCAACATGGTAATTGTAGTTTTCCTCTAAAATTATACTGCTTCTACAAATAACATAACACTTTTCATAATCTTTCTGTAATTTAATTTATTTGACTTTTTTTTAACTATGATGACAGTGGTGGCTAAATTGTATGCTATTTTTAGCTTTATTATGATAGAAGTATTTAGTAAATAGTGAACTTGAAAAAAGAATTAGTTCACTTTTTTATAACTATATACTTTGAATTCAACATTGCCTTTACAAAAGTGTCCATAGTTGTAATATCAAATTATAATGCTTTGTTACTTTGAGTTAGTTCTTAGTTGAGTTTTTAGTTAGTTAGTTTTTAAATTGTTAATATTTTGGTTGCTGTGCAACATTATCTGTTTAATCTGATCTGTTTTATCTGTTCTCGTTGTGTTATTTATTTCCTTGTTCACTGGAACATTAGATTTAATGAATATGTTCATTATAACATATCCAAATAACGGAAATGCTTTTATAATCTTTATTGTTGTTTATTATATATGTGGGCAATTGTGACAAAGAATTTCCCCTTGGGGATTAATAAAGTATTACTGAACTGAGACATTATATGGCAAAAAAATAATAATAATAATAACACGGTATTATTACGGTACCTTGTCTTGGGGAGGCGTTTTAATACACTCAAACTGTATGCTAAAGCATTGTACCCTGGTTTGTAATAATTAGACCCACTTGGTCATAGCTCTTTATAAACGACACCTGGTTTGTTGTTTGCGAGCAAGATATTTTCCCTGTCATTTGTGATTATGGCTGAAAGAGAATAATGATGTGAGGTCAGCCAGCACGGCTGGAGGATGTGAGAAATGTCTTCAGGAAACAGTGTGTTAAGAGTCTTCCTGTGTTTGTATGCAGTGTTTGTAAGAGCTTCACCAGCATCACTTTACCAGGACAACCTCTGATAAAACAGTATCGATCATCTTTCACTAAACCAAGATCATATAGTCTAAATTCAAGTTGTCACCTCATAAAATCTTGGTCGTGAGAGTGTTGAAACTTCTGTTTTACAATTCTTTGATTGACTGAGCATTAAATCAATGTCTTCCCAGTGTGTTTGGCAGTGGCTTCCACACACTTCTGCGTTTATGAAACTTTTCCCACACTGAAAGTCATTTCTTGCCAACAGTGAATTTGCTGTTGCAGATTTATCAAACATCACTCTTCCCATAAGTTTGTTTCTCTCATACAAATGTTGTGGTATGTTTTTTCCTCTTTACCAAAAGCTGTAGGAAAAACTGGGGCTAGTTATCACACTTTTACACCAAGGAAAATTCCTCAGGTTTACTGTCACCTGCCCGTATACGGGCAACCTCAATTTACTTCACTATATTACTATTAAATCCTAATCTAGTCATGACAAACTATATATCGTTGGAAAGGTCTAAGACTCCTTAATAGATATTTTAGCGCTGTTTTTTCTTACAAACTATGTATGAACAGTAATATATGAATTTATGACAAGAGTGCACCTCAAAAAATCGACGTCATTACAGGAGTTTATGACCTTTGTCACAAAAAGTTGACGCACACACTTTTAATAATTGTAACTTTGGTTTTTAATGCTAAAAGTTCATAATAAAACATAATCTAGTATTTGTCAATAAAAAAAGATAAAATTATATTTTAAAAAGTAAAGTAAAAAGTCCTCTAAAAAGTATAATATATATATAATATATATATATATATATATACATGTATATATATAATTGTTTATTATTATTATATCACATATTTTAGTAGTTATCATAAATTAGGTATCATTTGAAAGCTTACGAACTCAGAATTCATCCTGTGAAACCCATTTTGAAATTGGACGTTGCGTTACCAGAAACGTTTTTTTTTTTAGGCCCCTCCCCTTTTTGGGCATCATCTTTCATAATTTATTATCAAAAATGTTCTAATCTTGACAAAACACATATTGTCAGAAAGGTCTCAAGGTTCCAAATTTAGTGACAGAAGTGATATTTGGATAGAAATTTATTAATTTGTTATGGCAGAATGCATACAATTAAATTCAAGGGAATGCAATGGCACCCGGTGGGTATTTTTGGTATTACGCCTAAACAAAATCTCATGGGAACTTCAATGTTTGTGATATCAACTTCAAATTTGGAACACAACTTGGTTAGATATATGGCTTTGACTTTCTGTCATTTTTAGGCTGAAACCTATATTAATTTATAAATATTTTTAATAAAAGAAAAATATACATTTTATTATATTTTCATAAGAATAAACTTAAACTTCAATAACTTTTAAATAATTTAATTCTATTAATTTATTCCACTTCAGCAATAATCTGCCAAGAGTCTTCTTTTAAAAGAGACATAAGTCTTTAGTACAAAGGCTTCATGAATTACAACCGTTTAAGTTTGGGTAGTGCATTTTTTAGTGTATTAAAGTTAATTTCGGAAACTTTTGAACATTCAACAAGAAAATAAATCACAACATATCTATGTTGATATATTTTTATATAATGTGTATTATAGGCTGTTTAATTGATTTTGTTTAAAATTGATAATATAAAAATGAACAAATCAGTAATATATTGCTCTTTCATTCTAAATACCCCACACAACCTGAAATGTTAAAAAGAAATCTTGATAAAAATAATGCTGCTTTTCTCATTTTTAATGTATTTTAATTGGTCCGGAAAAAAAAACAGATTTGTCTGTAAAAATAAATAAAAGAATGATTCGATCATATGCCATTTTACTAAAGTAATATTCCAATTACTGTGGTCAAATGCTCTGTGTCTGCAATTCCTGTTTTTGGTTCAACCTCATCTCATCGTGTCATTGATGTGGCGTGCAGAAGGAGGAACGTGAAGGAACACCCTTTTCACTTCCTTTGGATGTTAAAAAAAGGTCAAGTTCCTCTAAGCATCTTCTGACGTGAGAACAAACGAAACAGGAAGAGTAAAAAAATAGCTTTTTGATGACATCAATCTCATTACAAGTCTCATTCTCTCCCTAAATTCCCTAAGTTTGACCTTGAGGTGGCTTTCCATATTTTTCATGTCAATTTATTTAGCTAGTTTGCAATGTAAGTAACAGTGCATAAAGTGGGATAATCTGCAGTCCGCTTTGCTTTGGAGGTTTATTTTACAAATATGACTAGCTTACGGTTAACTATATTGCGCAATATATAATATGAATCGTTTTTCTTTTCACAGACAGCTGGACACCACAGACAACCAAGGAGAATACGTGGAAGTAAGTCTTTTTTTTTCTTTCTCTTAGCAAGAAGTCACTTGGTAAAGTGTATTTAAACTAGGCAAATCTCTCATCCTTAATAAGCAGGAGCTGGAAAGAATTCTGTTAATATATCTATCTAGTACTTCAATCTGTCTGTTCTTTGAGGCTTCCTCCTGACAACTTGCTGAATATGGTTATTTCATGCTTAATTAGGCAAAATCCCTGTATTCATTAACTAAATGCACCATTTGGAGATGTAATAAGAAATTAATCTAATGAGTACTTTTGGAATGTGCTGATTTGGTGCAAATTAATGTCCTTCCTGTGCCTGCCCTTATTTACAGTCATTAAGATATTAGATTCTGCATTTAATTGCTGTGTAGTGAACCCTGCCGCCTCTAGATGGCGCTGTAAACTGCTCTCCTGAAGCTCTGTGTAAGGGAAGGTTAGGTGTGGCCAGGCCCACATGACCCTCAAGCCTTCAAAACACACATTCTCATTCACACACACATGCACTGTAAAAAAATTGCTGTAGTTATGCAGCTGTTTGCCAGTAACTTACTGTAGATTTAAATTGATGTAAATTTACTGGCAACAGTTTGTTCAAAGTTAAATGAACATCAAACATTAACAAGTCTTTGTCTTTACAGAATAAAATTATAAAATAACAATCTAATGCAAAGCATTCTGGGAACCAGAAATCTTCATCAACCTTTTTCTGTTTTTTTTTTTCTTTCAGATTTTGGTTCCAATGCTTTGCATGAGGCTGTTATTTTAGTTTTATTCTGTAAAGATAAAGACTTGTTAATGTTTAATGTTCATTTAACTTTGAACAAACTGTTGCCAGTAAACAGTATAACATCAATTTAAAACTACAGTAAGTTACTGGCAAGCAGCTGCCAGTAATACTGTAATTTGTACAGATTTTTTTTACAGTGAAATATGTGCACACAAATACTGAAACTTCCTCTTTGTCTGTGACACATGCACACGGTCTAATGGGTGGGAATTGTGAGGAAGTAAACAATTCTGATTCCTTAATTCTTTTAGTACTTTTGAGGATGAAACATTTGGGAAAATGCTGATCTCTGCAGTTTGCTGCCAAATGTAGCATGTAACATATTTCATCGTGTATTCATTTGAATTCCATTATTTAAAAAAATTCTGGAAAGATAATAAACAACCAGTCATTAACTATAATGATTAAAAAGTACACAATGCAAATTTTGGCCCTATCGCAGTTAAAAAACAAAACTGCATGATTTTGGTTCACTAAAAAGAACCAGCTGATAAGAGTCATTCGTTCAGAGATTGAACTGATAGAAGTGGTTTTTGATTCCCACATAGATTTTTTACATTGAAAATCAAGTAGCAACATGGTCATGAGGCCATCGAGGTCCGAAACTCTGTGCATTTTTCATATTAAAAAATACAATTTAAAGTTCTCAATGCACTAATGACTAGTTAGAAATTTAAAACTCCTATGTGAATGCATGTATAATTCAGTTTAGACATGTCACTGTGAGATGCTGGCAGAGTGAACAGGGCTTGAAAAGAGAAACACAATGATCTTCATTATTTTATCTGTAAGAAACAGTATAATGCTATAAAACAAATGACATAAGTACACATATCTGTGAACAAGTGTGAAATATGCTAAATATGGAAACACTGGCAATGAAAAAGGCTATTTATTTAATTTAACAATGTCCTTCCCCCAAAACAGACAGAACAGAGACAGAGAGTAGCAAAAAGATTCTGACAAAATACATTAGTGCATTTTATTGTATATTTTCTTATATTTTCTTAACACCCCACCCCAGACCTTTCTAATTTTCAAACCCTGGTTATGGCCATAAGTGGCAATACAACAGGAACATAACTGTTTATTGTACAAAAACAACAAAACATGCTCGAAATCCTTTCCATTCTTTAACCATAATTACTAGAAACTGCCTAGTGTAGCTTTTTTTTTTTTTTACCTTCTATAGTTTTATTCATGTTTTTTGTTAGACAACCTGTCCATGGTTGGTATGTGTCAAATTTGACTAGTTTCTACCAAGTGACAGATGATCTGTGGTAGATTTGTACTAGTTTGATTGGATGCACATCCTCCTTTCCCTCCATTTATAGGATGCCTCTCTTCTCCGCCACAGTATGAAAGTTTAATGGTGTCTGAGTTAAAATGAGTCTCTGCCCTGAATGTTCACTCTAATGGCAAAAAACAGCTCTTTCAACTGGAAACAGAGATGAACCACTGGTCTTCGCTCCAGAACAGAGCGTTCCCAGAGGCCCAGACACTTGAGGTGTTCGTGCTTGCGTTCTTCCATTCAGCCGTTGATACGCGATGTTTATTTTCTGCTGGGCTGCCATCTCATTATCTCGGCTGTTCCTAGATCTCACACCTTTCCCAGCACCTTAGGATTGAACTCCTAACCTTTCTGCTTGCCGCTAACACCAATTAGCAGTTTCCTTTCAATAATTGTATCACTGAAAATCCTACTGAAAGATACCAAAGCTGATGTCTCGTAACAGCACTACAGTAGTTTGTACCACAGTGTTTATATGGTACTCCCAAAGTAATACCATGATTCTGCTTTGATACTTGTCCAAAAACACAAAAAAATCATAGTATTTCCATTGTACCATATCTAGTAGCATGGTATTGCCATACCATGTCCACCAAATCATATTAGGACCATGGTCATTTTTGTTACATTTTATCATGGTTTCATTTGTATTAATTAACTTGCATTAATTTGTAATCAGTTAACGAAATTAACTAATTCGTACTTAAAGGTAGCCTAGAAATCTAGACGCACCCTAGCGGCAGCAAAAATTATTTTGCAGCAAAGTGTGGTCTAGCAACTCTCCATAGACTTTTGAGCTGGAAAAAACAAAAACTGGTCCGGCCAATCAGATCGTGTAGAGTTGGTGGGCGGGCTTAACATAATGACGGCAGAGTTATGACGGTTCCGCGTGATTTCCATAGGTGATTTCCCTCTGCTTGAAAACAAAGAAGATGCTGCTGGTGAACAGCGGTCTTTCGAATCGGCTTTGGCCGCGACTCTGGATGATTTGGAGTTAAGAGAACGTCACTCAAGTCATTCTTAAAAAAGGAAGATGTGTTCGGAGTTTTGACGATCGGATACGGCAAAAGTTTAATAAATCAACTAGCTCCGCTGGTGGAAAAACGCATGGGACTCACTCAGCCACAGCCGTTCGTTGCTCTGGTTGGTTGTAGCGCTGTCCTATTGCGTGCCGAGGGATATTGAAAGACAACCGTATATCCCGCCCCTCGGATTGAGGTATGCCAATTGTGAGTTCCCAGACCTAACATCTTGATGTAGGTCTGGCTTGCCAGGCTAACTTAAAGGCCCACTGAAGTGCTTTGAAGTGCGCAGCATTATTCGATGTGTTGACGTAATTTCCACTGAAACAGGAAGACAGGGCGGGACATATCGAACAGCTCCTCCCCTTTTTTAAATAGCCAATAGTGTTTAGTTTAGCTCGACCAGGGGCCGTTGAACTCGGTAAAGCCGAAGTTTCCTTAATCTCCAACCGTTTCTCCTCCTAATCTCCTTCATATCACTTTAAAAATTTAAAACACAGCATTCTGTGCCGAATTCAAATGTGTCCGATACGTTTTGAGGTCTGCGCCGATTTGTGCATATGATCCGCTCTGTGCTATTGTGTCTCTGGACCGCAGCAGACTGTGTGCGCAGTGGCGGTTCCTGTGACACTAACGTGAAACCAGACTTCATTCGCCCCAATGGAAAGCATATTTACACTGTCTGACTCGTTCCCTATACCCTATATAGTGCACTGTGGACTATTCACTATTTACCATATAGAAAATAGTAATAGTGTGAACAAGTGACCGATTTCAGACGCAGTTTCAGCTTCAGCTTAGTGTAAGGGGCGGGACGCTTTAGATTCTGTAGAGCATTTGATTGGACAGAAAATCTGATGAGAAACTGACGTGCAGAGTGATGTCATCAAAATCATTGATCCATATTGGCGGAAGTGATAGACTACGTTTTGAATGCTTATAGATCTTCTAAATAGAGCCAAAAACATTTTTTTTTTAATTTCATAGGGACTTTAAAAAGAGTTCATTTGGACACAAGAAGTAGTAAGGATAGCAGTTGTGGTGATGCTCCATGGAAATCTCACTTCCACAATGCTATGGGAGATTGCTCAGGAGATTGCCAGGTGGTTGCTCTAGATGTCTTTTTTTACTGGTCAAAAGAGGCCGATCCCTGGTCTCTGTGATATTTGGGATGCAAGTTATGTCTCAGGCCCTTCTTTCAATGTGTTTTGTGTGTTTTTATAGTGCACCAGGCAAAGATCATAATTTAGATTGCTTAGTAAACTAACAGCACCATCTACTCAACAAGCTGCATGATTTGTGCTGTCATGGTTAGGGGTTTTAAAAATGGCAATAGTAATAATGATGCATAAGAAGAACGAGACATGGAGAGGTGAACAGTAAGTGAAGAAAGACAGGCAATGAATTGAGAAAGACAAAGTGATGTAAACTCAGCTGGTGAAAGATGGAGGTTGTGATGCCCCTCTTGTTCCACTCCCTCCTGTTTTTCAGCATGGAAATACATACAGAACAGCCAGTTATTCCATTTAGGCTAAATCAAATCACTATACACAGCTCTGCATTGATTATACTGTAAATTGACTAGACCTCACACACTAACATGCTTCTCATGGTCTTCTATTACTGCTACAGATCAAACCAAACTGCTTGATCAGCAAAAGCAGGGCCGACTTGGGCAGGAGCCATTGCATGGCAACTACAATACCCAGAATTCCAAGCGGGCCGAGCTCATTAATGTTAATGGGAAGGGGGAGGTGAGGCGTTTGGGCCCTGTAGGCAGATGGAGGGAGAGACAAACCCCCTCCACCCTCTCATTATCAGTTCGCTCACAGAGTCTAGCTCCTCTTCATTGTACCACTGCACCCTGCCTGCAGGACACTCACTGTGTAATTAATATTTAACTGAG